TCCAGTAGTTTCTGAAAAACATAAATGACACTAACTAAATGACAGCATACAGGGTGCAAGCAGAGGGTGGGCAGAGATGTAGAAAAGATGTGGAAAGGACGCCTGGGTGGCTCAGCGGTTGGGAGCCTGCCTTTGGCTCAGGTCGTGACTGTGGGGTCCCAGGATCGAGTCCCACATTGGGCTCCCTGCAAGGAGCCTGCTTCTCCCTCTGCCTGTGTCTCTCATGAATAAATAAATAAAATCTTTTTTTTTTAAAAGAAAGAAAAGATGTGGAAGATCACTGAAAACATGTTTTGACCTTTCCAGATTTCCCCTGATTCAGAGGGCAATGGCACAGTTTCTCTCAACTGCTTTCAATGCCTCATGGTAACCACACAAAAGATGTATTTTTATTTTATTTTTTAAAAGATTTTATTTATTCATTCACGAGAGACAGAGAGACAGAGAGAGAGAGAGAGAGAGAGAGAGAGAGAGGCAGAGACACAGGCAGAGGGAGAAGCAGGCTCCATGCAGGGAGCCTGACGACGTGGGACTTGATCCCAGGTCTCCAGGGTCATGCCCTGGGCTGAAGGTGGCACTAAACCGCTGAGCTTCCCGGGCTGCCCAAAAGATGTGTTTTTAATAATAACTAACTTCATTTCCTCTTAAAGTTGTGGCTAATTTTAAGTCCTATGTAGATAGTCAATGACAAAAAATTTCCTGGGATTGTTGAATTGTTATATAAAAGCTAGTAGTGTATATGACATTGGATCAAAGAGGTAATTTTATGGCAACAAAACTGTATCTTTCTATCCAGTCATGATAACATAATCAACTAGCATATATCAACCTAACAGCTTATTACCTGTTGTCTACATATTTGATTTCGGGTCCCGTCGATACATCATTAATTATTTGCAAACTACCTCATATGTAGATGTCCTACAGAATCCCATGTAACCACCATATTAATTCATTAATTAATTAACTTACCTGTAAAAGGGATGTATCTACCATACTTACTTCTTAGCTTCGTATGAGGAGTAAATGGGATCATGTACATGAAGGATCTAGAATAATGACTGGTACCTAGAATGTGTACCATTAGTCAGGGCTCTTCCAGGGAATAGAATTCCCTCCATATGATGCAAAGAAAGAAGTGTTAGTGAAAGTACAGTGGTGTGGGTAGGGTGAAGAGAATGAGCAAGGGCTGGTAGGAACCCAGGGACTAGCAAATGCTCCTCAGGCTGAGGGGATATGGGAAAGAGCCAGCTGCCAGCTAGAACTGTGGAAGAGGGACCACCAGGTAGGCATTAGACTAAGAGGGATGAAACTGCTGACAGGGACGGTTTGTCACAGCAGAGGGAGGATGGGAAGAAATACTCTAACCTATTTCTTAATGCCACTGCCTCCCATCAGCGAAACCCAAGCGGCAGCCAGTTTGGCCAGATAGCACAGGACATGCAGTCCTCAGTGATCAATTTGCTAGAGCATATTTTCTGCTCATTTGCAGAAAAGAGCAAATCATGGATTTGCAGGTGGGGGGGGCGCTGCTAGGGAGAAGGGTAAGGCAGATTAACCAGCATGCTCTAGTTCATGTTCTATTTTAAACCAAAAAAAACAAAAAACAAAAAAAAAAACCCCTATCAGAATCCTAACAAAGTTGGTATAAATGCATCTTTTCCCTACTATGAGAAATTATGTAGAATTTAGGCTCATATATGCTTTCTTTTTTCATTTATTATTCATTCATGTAACATAATTAGGAAATAACTGCTTTGAGAAAGCAATATGTCAAGCATTATGTATAGGGTTGGTATTCTTGTCCTTATGGAGATTGTCATTTACAAATCACTCATAGGGGTTAATTTAATATCATGTAAATAATATAATAATATAATAAAAATGCCCAAATTTGCATTTATGTAAAGGGGAGCACTACTTCTAAAAAAAATGGAGATTTTACATTTTAAATGTTCCTAGATTTGAGCAGCCTTTTTTGGATCTTATACCCATTTGAAAATCTGTTGAAAACTATAGATTCTCTCTCCAGGAAAAAAAAAAAGTGCATATGCATAAAGGCTTTCATTGATCACTGTCCTAGTCTCAAGTTTATTCACTTGAGCCTTTCTTAGATACTCTTCCTATCTCCCCACTGGCAGGTGCTCATAGTATCTTTTTGGACTTAGAGGAACTCAGAAACACTGCAGAGCGTGGAGGGTCAAAAGACAAAAGAGTAAAACTTAGTGGCCCTGCCTGGCATGGCCATACCTTGTTATTCCCCCGTTGTAGTAAAATGATGGAGCCCTGGTGCTTAACAAGAAAAATCTGCTTCCATCTACAGAATAGGTGTTGTCAGGGCTCTGATCCGTGAGGCTCCTGGGCACTCAACATGCCTTCACAGGGGAATCTTTTCTTCTAGGAGTACACTCCCTCCCTCCAACTCCCCATTTCCTGTCCGCAGGATACTTTCTTAGACAAGTTCAGATCCAGCACTCCATCCTCTTGCTACCTGCGCAATCCTTTCTCCTTGTTCCCCCTTCAATATATACATTGTTATTTCAAATCCTCATTATTTTTCAACACAAAGTTCCATTGTCTTTCACACTGATGGTCCTTAAAGGCTGATCCTAGGTTATCAGTACTGATTCCATTCTCTTTAGAGATGTGACCACCTGCTCTTAAACATTCCCTAGAAAGGAAGAATTTGCATACCACACTTCCCCCTCCTCCACCAAAATAACGACAGGGTCACCTGCATGGGTTCCTAGGTTAAGAGTCTGACTTTTGATCTCAGCTCAGGTCTTGACCTCAGGGTTGTGAGTTCAAGCCCCATGTTTGGCTCCATGATGGACATGGGGCCTACTTAACAAAAACAAACAAACAGAACCCCCAAATTCGGTTATACATTCCTTTTAAGTTAGTTAAACTTAAGAAACAAAACTTTCTATTAAATCAAGTTGGATGTTTTGATCTTCCTGTATTTTTTTTTGAAGATTTTATTTATTCACGAGAGACACTGAAAGAGAGAGGCAGAGACTTAGGCAGAGGGAGAAGCAGGCTCCATACAGGGAGCCCAATGTGGGACTCGATCCCAGGACTCCAGGATCATGCCCCGAGCAGAAGGCAGATAGATGCTCAACCGCTGAGCCACCCAGATATTCTGATCTTCCTGTATTTTTGTAAGCATAGAACTCTGCAAATGATTTCAGGGGTTTTGGGCTTTACATACTGTATTATCTATTGTATATCTTTTTAAAAAAGATTTTATTTATTAATTCATGAGAGACAGAGAGAGAGAGAGAGAGAGGCAGAGACACAAGCAGAGGGAGAAGCAGGCTCCATGCAGGGAGCCCAACATGGGACTCGATCCCGGGTCTCCAGGATCACGCCCTGGACTGAAGGCAGGTGCTAAACCGCTAAGCCACCCGGGCTACCCCATAATATAATATCTTTTTTTTTTAAGATTTTATTTATTCATGAGAAACACACACACAGAGAGAGGCAGAGACACAGGCAGAGAGAGAAGCAGGCTCCATGCAGGGAGCCCGATGTGGGACTCGATCCTGGGTCTCCAGGATCAGGCCCTGGGCCGAAGGCGGTGCTAAACCACTGAGCCACCTGGGCTGCCCCCCATAATATAATATCTTATCCCAAAATCAGCAGCTCAGAAAAATAAACACTTTTTTTATGATTAAAGCCAATTATTTTATTGAAGGAGATAAGCAAATGCCCATTGTTGGCAAAGGGAAGAGACATGTTGGAAGTCAGGTGTGTTCGCAGATGAGAGAGAGTAACCAAGGCTCCACCCAACAAATATTCAGAATCAGGGCTTCTGTATTTCTCCATGGCTTGACTTCTCATGGGTCACTTTCCAGTCAAAGGATTCTGGAGACCAAATCAGGTAAGATTCTTTCGGTTATCAACCAATAGTCTTTACATCTTCTCTCAGCCAAGGCATCCAGGGAAAGTATACAGGCAACCTCAGAGATACTACAAGTTTGGTTCCAGACCATCAAGGTAAAGCAAATATAACAAAGTGAGTCAAATGAATTTTTTGGCTTCCCAGCACGTATGAAAATTACATTTATACTATCCTGTAGTATATTAAGTGTATCATAGCATTATGTCTAGAAAACAATGTACATGCCTTAATTAAAAAATACTTTATTGCTAATAAAGTACTGGAAGGTCTTGCTTCAATGTTGCTGCAGTTTCTACATTGGCACTTGCGGCTTCACCACGTGCTTTTAGGTTATAAAGACAGCTTCTTTGCTTTAAACCTCACAAATCAGTGTCTACAAGCTTCAAACTTTTCTTCTGCAGCTTCCTCACCTCTTGGCCATCACAGAATTGAAGAGAGCTAGGACTTTGCTCTAGAGTAGGCTTTGGCTTAAGGGAACGTTTGATCTTCTATCCAGACCACTGAAACAAGGCTGTTTTGCTTCCTTACCATTTGTGTGTTCACTGGAGTAGCACTTTTGCTTTCCTTCAAGAACTTTCCCTTTGTATTTGGCAACTTGGCTCCAGCCTATCTCGGCTTTCAATATGCCTTTCTTGCTGAGCTTATCACTTCTACCTTTTGACTTACAGTGAGAGATGAAGGACTCTTCCTTTCACTTGAATACTTAGAGGCCATCGTAGGATTACTAACTGGCCTAATTTCAATATGTTGAGTCTCAGGGGGTAGGGAGGCCCAAGGACAGGAAGAGACAAGGGAATGGCTGGTTGGTGAGCAGTCACAATACATAGAACACTGATTAAGTTCACTGTCTTATATGGGCGCACTTTGTGGCACCCCAAAACAATCACAATAGTAATATCACAGATCACCATAAGAAATATAATAATAATTACAAAGTTCAAAATATTGTAAGAATTACCAAAATGTGATACAAAGACACAAGGTGAGAAATGCTGTTGGAAAAATGGCGCCAATAGACTTGCTTGTGCCAGGTTGCCACAAACCTTCAATTTGAAAAAAATACATTATCTGCGAAGTTCAATAAAACGAAGCACAATAAAACAAGGTATGCCTGTAATTTATTTTTCAGATTCCTCTGCGGGATTAAAAAGTCTTTTTCTCATCGCATTGCCATGCTCCCTGCTCTTGGTCCTCTTTTCTATGTACTCATTCTTCAAGCATTTTCTCATCTCCCGATCAAGATCATTGCACTGACCAAAAAATTTCAGAATGCTGTGATTTTTGTGACATTCCTTAAGCAAGTTAATCAAGACGTTGCATTCTTCAGAGTGCAAGTGTGGAGATAAGTCAGGATGCATCTTTAGGAGGTGACGGAGCACAGCAGGGCAACCCGCCTTGCGGCCACACTGGGCCGGCCGAAGCCACCGTCACCAGCGAGGCCTCCCCATCCAAAGGCCGGCCCCCGGGACGAAAAATAAACACTTAATATTTTACACAATTTTAGTGGTTGAGGAATCCAGGTGCAGTTTAGGGGGGTGGTTCTGGGCCAGGGTCTCCCAGGAGCTTGCAGTCAAGATGTCAGCTGGGGCTGCAATCATCTGAAGGCTTGATCTGGGCTAGACTATCTGCTACTGAGGTGGCTCAGTCACCTGCCTGCCATGTCCAGGAAGCTGCTGGCTGTTGGCAGGAGGTTAGACTTCCTTGCCTTGTGCACCTCTCTCCATGGGGGCTGCATGAGTGTTTTCATGACACGGCAGCTGGATCTTCCAGAGTCGGTAATTCAAGAGAGAATATGAATCCACAATGCTTTTTATGAGCCAGCTTCAAAAGTCACACACAATTTTTTGGCAACATCTTATTGGTTATGCATATTAGCCATACTCAGTGTGGGAGGGCACTACCCAAAAGTGCAAATACTGGGAGAATTGTTGGCTTATCAGTTGACTATCACACATGTCAAATTCCATATATTTCCTTTAATTCTCCAGCTTAATTTTATTTATATCAGTGATTCCTACAGAGTGCAGAAATATGGTTCTCGTTTCACTTAAAATAAGATTATAGAGTACTACTATGTATGCTTGCTTTTCTGTGTTAAAATGGCAATACCTTGGGCAGCCCGGGTGGCTCAGTGGTTTAGTGTCCACCTTCGGCCCAGGGCGTGATCCTGGAGTCCTGGGATCGAGTCCCACGTCGGGCTCCCTGAATGGAGCCTGCTTCTCCCTCTGCCTGTGTCTCTGCCTCTCTCTGTGTGTCTCTCATGAATAAATTAATAAAATCCTGAAAAAAAAAGGCAATATCTTGCCCTATCCCAGTTTTGAGTAGGTGACATCTAATTTGGTTCTAGAGTCCACAATTCTAATGAGATATAGAAATTTATGAAATGACTTCTAGAAAAATCTTGGATTTTCAATGGATCTCATTAGAATCCAAAGGGCTATAACTACTGAACAGCATTTAGCTAAGTCAAATAATCTGTATGGTAACTTAAAAATGATCTCTTTGCTGTGGTCACTAAATCTAGCATTTCACAGAAGAAGTGTTTAATAAAGTATTAAATGGACCAAGTAATAATTCACCTAAGATAATTACAACAGAACCAAGAACAGTAGATGGGGAAGAGTTAGGAGGCTTTTAGACATGGTTCTGCTACGACCTAGTTTGGTGACTAAGCAGGTTTCTTAAGTCCACCAATTATCATTTTCCTATTTGTGAAATGTTGGAGTTTGACTAGAACTGGATGACCTCTAATATCTTTAGCTCCAGTAGTCTCTGAAGTTACATATGAAGCCACTTCTATACAATAATTGCCCATTCCTCTCTGCTTTTAGATCCATTTCACAATTCTCCTCTGACAAGGTCTCCATGTTCTCTATTTTATTCTCTTTCAGCAACTATTCTGCATTCCTCCATAATTCTGTGCCATTCTTTTGCCAGTTTATCCATTGACATGTCTACTTTCTTGGCTGTCCTCCACAGTACCCTGAATATATCGTCTCAAATCTGCATGTAGATAAGGACTCTGTAATTACCAAGATGGACTTATTATATCTACAGGGTTCATTTGGGTCCATATTGAACCTCACCCAAACCTCAACTTCAACATATTTTCCCTAAGAATGTCTGCTCTTACTCCTTCTTTCTTTCTTAATTTAATAAGTATTGTTTTCAGTCATACAGCAGTGAGCAAGGCAGATATGGAGTCCAGTTGAGTTGCTTTAACTTTTCACTCACTTTTAGTGTTTTGTCCATGTTGTAGAATTCCCGGAAGTCACAAATAAAGCATCTCTGGCAGCCAGGCAATGATGATGAGTGACGTAGGCCTATGAGCCCAGTAGAGACCAAGCAAGGAAGCCCAGATCTCTCGTGTTTTCCAGCTAAACTAGGAATCTAGATTTTATATATATATTTATTTTTTTAAAAAAGATTTTTATTTATTTATTCATGAGAGACAGAGAGAGAGAGAGAGAGAGAGAGAGAGAGAGAGAGAGAGGCAGAGACACAGGCAGAGGGAGAAGCAGGCTCCATGCAGGGATCCTGACCTGGGACTTGATCCCGGGTCTCCACAATCACACCCTGGGCTGAAGGCAGCTCTAAACCACTGAGCCACCTGGACTACCCTAGAAATCTAGATTTTAAAGTGAAATCTCCTGATTTATTGAATTTTGGTATCTACTTCAAAAATATTTGGAAAACTACCATGTAGGCCAAATGAAACATTTTGGTGGCTGAATTTGACCACTGAGCCTTCCATTTAGGGACCCCTGTGAGCCTAGGCTACCTGGGAAGGCTAACATCCTCATTTTTTGTAAGCTCATACACCCCAATGTTCCTAACACATGGGCACCTGCAAAACATTCTTGCCTGCTATTTATGCCTTGTGTCTCCGTCACCTCCCAACAATTCAGTATCTTCTTTACCCCATCTCCCAACTGTTGCTTTTCTTTACTCCCATTGTCTCTTTCCAGTAAATGTATGACATAAGGGTAAGGAGGAGCAAGATGAAAATTGAATTGTTGAAGTGAAAATTCTACTTTAGGGCAGCCCGGGTGGCTTAGCGGTTTCAGCGGCCTCCAGCCCAGGGCGTGACCACGGGGGGCCTGGGATGGAGCCTGCTTCTCCCTCTGCCTCTCTCTCTGTATGTCTCTCATGGATAAATAAACAAAATCCTTTTTGTTTTTTTTTTTTAAAGAAAATTCTATGTTAAAATGCATCTAAAAGCAGTTTGGAGCTCCAAAGGGAGAGAACCCTAATTCTGTGTAGTTCTGCAGGCTGGGTGAAAGAGTCAAACCCAAATCCTTGGTTTGCGGTGGGACCAAAATGATGCAAATGAGCTCAGACTGAGAGGAGACCCGAGAGCAGCGCTGCCGGGAGGACGAAGGCAGGTAAGCCAGCTGCAAAGTCAGCAGAGGACCTTGCTCTTCCCACCGGCCGTGCAGCAGCTGTGAAGAGCTGTGCCCGCCTCTCCCTCTTATGAATGATGCCTCGACCGTTAGCTATGCAGCATTTCCAGGAGCTAATGTCAGCTATTTAGCTATTTTCATGCATTTCTGGGAGCACCCCGTGAATAAACAGCCGACTCCTCTTGAGAGCATCCAATGCCCGGTCGCTCCCCGCTTTTCCAGGCCCCGCTTCCCAGGGAGAATCGGATGCAGCGCTGCGCCCGCCGTCTGCAGACCTTGCAGCTCCCCTTGGCGGGAGCCTCAGCCTGAGGGCAGGCCCCTGACCCTCGCGTCCCCTGGGCCCTCCCTCCCGACCTTACCCCGCGGCTGCTCCTGGCTGATGCGCTTGCTCGGGAGGCGGGCTGCTGTCGGGATCTCTAACGCATCGTCCTGGCGGTCTCTGCTGCATCCTCCTCTGAGCAGCTTAGGGCTACGATTTTTAATAATAGCAAAAAAAAAAAAAAAAAAAAAAAAAGCAAAGAGGCATGTGTTGTAGGGCTGTTGCTTCAGCACATTTGTAGGAGCCACTCCCCCCCTCCCCATCCTACAGCCCTAATATGCACTTAAAGACGCCCTAGGTCCTTTTATCCGGTTCGAATTTCAGCGAATTCCGTTTTAACAACATAGGTTCTCAGCCCCCGGGTTACATTAGCATGCAGCAGGTGGGGGGGGGGGTAGGCGTGAGCCTCGAGGGTGTACGTTTTTGATGTAATTACTGCTAATTGAAGACCAACGAGGTCCGGCCGGGCAGTCTCCCGGGCCCAAGGCCTCACCCGTTGCTCCGGGCGCCCCCGAGGGTGCACCGCGGAGGCCGTCCCGGCGGAGGAGGCAGGGCCGCGCCGGCGACGACCCGCAGGCCTCCCAGCCCCCAGCCGCTCCGCTGCTGCCGCGGGGTCTCGGGGCCGCGCCGCTGCTGCCGCGGGGTCTCGGGGCCGCGCCGCGCACGCGCACAGCCTCCTCCCCCGCTCCCCCGGCCCCGCCCCGCGCGCACGCGCACAGGGACCCCCGCCCCCGAGGGAGGCGGGGGGTGCGCAGGGGGGTGCGCGGGGGCCGCGGCTCGCCCTCGCGCGTGCCCTCGCCGCGCCCGAGCCCCGCCGGGGGGAACCGCTTTCTCCCGGCATGCAGCGGGCGCAGGGATTTAACACCAAGATGGCGGACGGCCCGGACGAGTACGACGCCGAGGCGGGCTGCGTGCCCCTGCTGCACCCGGAGGTGAGGGGCCGCCCGGCGCCGCCCCAGCCCCGGGCCGCGGGCGCCGGTCCCCCCGGGACGCGCGGAGGGCTGCGGCGGGGCCCGGGGCCGTGCGGGGGCTGCGGGGCGCGGGCAGGCGGGCAGGCCCGAGCGCGGCCGCGGCTGCGAGCGGATAACGGGCGGCGGGCGCGGGGCGCGCGGGGCGCGGGGGGCAGCGCTGCTCGGCGCCGTGCGGGCCGCGGGGGCGCTTCCGGGGCGGGCGTCCGTGGTGGACGCGGCTGCGGGCACAGGTCGCAACTTTCGGGGGGAAGGCGGGCGCTCGCGGCGGGCGGGGCTGGGGTGGCTGCCGCTGCGGGCTCGGGCCCCCGGGGTCTGGCGGCGGGAGGGGGGGCACGGCCCGGGGCCCGCCGGCCTGGCTGCAGCTGCGGGCTCGGGGCCTCCGGGGCAGCTCGGCCACCGGGTCGCGCGGTCTGGGGGCGGGGGCAGGGGGCGGTGCACGGCCCCGGGCCCGCTGGCCAGGCTCCTTCTGCGGGCTCCGGGCCTCCGGTCGCGGTCTGGCGGCGGGGCGGGTCCGTGCGCTGGACGGGAGGGGGGTGTGCACGGCCCCGGGCCCGCCGGCGTGGCTCCCGCTGCAGGCTCGAGGCCTCCGGTGCAGCTTGGCCGCCCGGTCGGGGTCGGGGCTGTGCACGGCCTGGCCTGGCTGCAGCTGCGGGCTCGGGACCTCCGGGGCAGCTCGACCCCACGTCGGGGTCTGGGGGTGGGGGGTGCACGGTCCCGGGCCCGCCGGCGTGGCTCTCGCTGCAGGCTCGGGGCCTCCGGTGCTGCTCGGCCGCCCGGGTCGGGGTCGGGGTCGTGCACGGCTTGGCCTGGCTGCAGCTGCGGGCTCGGGACCTCCGGGGCAGCTCGACCCCGCGTCGGGGTCTGGGGGTGGGGGGTGCACGGTCCCGGGCCCGCCGGCGTGGCTCTCGCTGCAGGCTCGGGGCCTCCGGTGCTGCTCGGCCGCCCGGGTCGGGGTCGGGGCGGGTCCGTGCGCTGGAGGGGGTTGGTGCACGGCCCCGGGCCTGCTGGCCTGGCAGCCGTTGCAGGCTCGAGGCCTCCGGTGCAGCTCGGCCGCCCGGGTCGGGGTCGGGGTCGTGCACGGCTTGGCCTGGCTCCCGCTGCGGGCTCGGGGCCCTCGGGGTAGCTCGGAGGGAGCTCCGGGCTCCCGCGGTCTCTGCGGGATGAAGGCGGGACCACGGCCCCCAGGGTGCGGTGGCGATGACGGACGTGCTCGGCTGCCTGGCTCCCCCGGAGCGGGATGGTTCTGCTGACCTCAGGGTTGGGGCTTCCAGCCTGTGTCGCCCAGTGAAGCGTGGAGACACACACACACACACACACACACACACTCAGAGTGCGCGTATAAGACCCGACCACCGTCTTATTCATCACTTTGATTTACTAGAAGCAGATGGGACAGTTCTTTAGGAAGATGCTTGAGCCGCTCTCAACCAGAAAAGGCTCCTCCGGATTTCTGAGAAACAGAGCTGTACAGTAAGCCTAAATGTCTTTGCGACCAAGGTAGTGACATTTTTATTTATTTTTTGTTAAGGCTTTTATTTATTTATTCATGAGAGACACACACACAGAGGCAGAGACACAGGCAGAGGGAGAAGCAGGCTCCTGCAGGGAGCCCGATTTGAGACTTGATCCCAGGTCTCCAGGATCACACCCTGGGCCAAAGGCAGATGCCAAACGGCCGAGTCGCCACCCAGGGATCCCCAGTAGTAACTAACATCTTTAGAGCTGCCATAGGACATGCCCTTTCTTTTCGTTCACACATAGGCCTTAAAAATACACCATGGCAGAAAGTTCTCAGATGATGACTCCAAAATGTAGCCAAGGAATAGGTCTGTTCATGTCTTCCCGGTGAAAATCTTAAATACTGAGATGTTGATTTTATGTATTCTGACATAGTGTTCTTTCAGTGAACCGTTGGTGTGTGGCGTGGAGTGGTACGTTGTTTGGCACTTTAGGAGTAATTGTAACTGATAACAGATCCCTAGAGCTGTTGCTTGTAGTAATGAAGTGGCCTGTAGGCTTGGAATGGAGAGCCCAGTCTTCAGGTTGCCACTTAAAAGAACGTTATGAGAACATCGGCTTCTCCTTCCGCACACTGCAAGTAGAAGTTGATATAAGATGAGATCTGCCATTCTTTTTCATCTGGCAAACACAAGGCCTAACTACTTTAAATGTTTTGAGTCTTAACGCTGTGGTTTCCAGTGTTGCATGCACACCTGGTGCAGACCTGGTAAAGTTCTGCTTCCTTGCAGTATGTTCTTGGGCAGACTCCTCTGAGTTCTAGCTTCTTCATTTGTAATTATGGTATGAAGTGATAATAACTAATAGGCTATTGTGAGGATTGTGATAATGTATTCTTTTGTTGTTGTTAAAACAAGCAGCTTTTGGTCTCAGAAAGAAACCTGTTCTCTGCTTTGGTGGGCAAATAAAATAATAACACTTTTAACTCCTTTAGGAGACTTGGGTTCCAGTTCTGTTATTTGTAGTAATTAATTAGCCAAAGGACTTGAGACAAGTACTTAATCTCTCTCTCTTTCTCTCTCTCTCTCTCTCTCTCTCTCTTTAAAGATATGTTATTTGTTCATGAGAGACACAGGCAGAGGGAGAAGCAGGCTACCTGCAGGGAACCCAGTATGGGACTCCATCCCAGAAACTCCATCCCAGGACCCTGGGGTCACACCCTGGGCCCAAGGCAGATGCTTAATCACTGAGCCCCCCAGGCATCCAGTACTTAATCTCTTAAAGCCTGAATTTGTTAATCAGAAATGCAGATATGGCCTAGTTCACTTGGTTATAAGGGATCAGGCGAGACTGTATGTTGAGGATTAAGAACTGGCACATTGTAGGTGTTCACTTAGTGTTATTTCTTTTTCCTCTACCAGGAGGGAGATGTTACACGTGTGTTTGGGTTTTGGCAAATGGTTTAGAGACTTGTGTGGGTTTTAATTTATGGAATAGAATATTGTAGGAGTAAGTTTTATTTTACTTCAGATTTAACACTGTGTTAAAATAGTTAAAACAAAAATAGTTTTTCACTTAATATTTGTTGAACAGATGAATTATTTGTAGGATAAAGAAATTAGCCATTCCTTAAATCTTCTCTTAGTATGCATACTGCTCACTATTAAAACCTTTCTCGGGATTATGTAACTAGCTGAACAGGGAAACCTTTTAAATTTTTTTTTTTTTTATTTTAGAGGTATTTACTGTGAGAAAACCTTACTTTTTAATTAATCAAATGATCCATTAATTTAGTGAGTCTTTTAAACATTTGTTTATTTTGTTTGGGTCAGGTACTGTGCTGGGCTCTTGGCACTTTGGGATTTTCGTGTTTAATTCAACGAGAAGCAGAATAGGACGTGGTTGAGAGCCACTGGTAACAAAATCTGGGTTCTGCACTTGCTGTTATTATGGTAAATTTACATTTGTAAAACTGGGTTGATACTTCTTATAGTGCTTATTGTGAATATTAAGTAAAAAAATAATGTTATAAATGTTTATCAATGTTTATAGAGCAGCCGTCCCAGACCACAGCAGATGGGCTGCCAACAACTCTGACCTTCTGAAAGCCCTAGCATGTAGTGAATACTGGTGCTATTACTTTGCTTTCTGATGAAATAGGTGATTATTCATTTTATTATAATGGAAGAAATTAGGGCTATTTGGAGAAAGTTGAACTGATTATCCTGGGATTAGGGTGCTAATCCTAGCTCTGTGACTTTAGGCTGTTGGACATTTAACTACTCTTAGTTTCTTTGCTTTTAAGATAGGCTAGGGGTGCCTGAGTGGCTGAGGTCATTAAGCGTCGGACTCTTGATCTCAGCTCAGGTCGTGATCTCAGAGTCGTGAATTTGAGCCCTGCATTGGGCTCCGTACTGGGTGTGGAGCCTACTTAAAAAAACCAAACCAAACAAAACAAAACAAAAAAAAGAAAAACAGAACATAAGGAGGCTAGACTAGATCTTTTAAGATTTCTTTAAACTCTACTGTTGTAATTGTATGTTGTGATTTTTCAGAATCAGTAGGTTTGAGCATCTATCTTCTACATGCATAGCACTGTCCTAAGTTATATGGATGAAAATAAAATAAGTAGGATATCTTCTGCTTTCCAGAAGTTAATGATCTGATTGGGAATGTATACACATGTGAAACACTTAACAGAAACCAAATAAATGCTGAATTGATTAGTGTAGCCTATAAGCAGTGTCAGATTTCTGTCACCTAGAATGGTTAGAAGAATGACTTCAACAGAGAGAGACAGACCATATGTTGGTCTACAATCCCGTTGACTTGGTATCACTGCTCTTACGTTTCATCCGCTGGTGTATCCTCAGTAAGCCGTCCTAGCTCTTTCATAGAATGAGGCCACAATACCTCCTTTTGCCAGAGTATTATAGGGGCTCTGCGTTTCAGCAAGATCTGACTCAGCTTTGAACTGGATTGCCTAGATTATCTAGGGCTTTCATCTCTTGTTTGCTTCCTTTTTTTCTCAATTTCAAAACTTCTGTTACTGCCTTTTCTTTAGTTTCTCTGTTTTTTTAAAATGACATTTTTTTTGCTTCAAATTAATATCTATCTGGGATGCCTGGGTGGCTCAGTGGTTAAGCATCTGCCTTTGGCTCAGGACTTGTTCCTGGAGTTCCGCGATCGAGTCCCGCCTCGGGCTCCTGAATGGAGCCTTGCTTATGTCCCT